GATTTATGGTTGAAAGAGGAATGACATATTAAAATTTGAAGGGATGTTTATAAGGCAGGTTTTGAGATATTCATGAATAACGACTACTAAAAATCTGTCTTATAGAATTTCTTGAAATTTTGATATGTTTGGCAAATCGTCATGCTTAGCAAACGTGCAAAGTTTAAAAAATTTTCACCGAAGGAAACGCGAGAAAAATAGTCCTAAATCCAGTTGAAGCTGTTGACGTGACAAAATATCGATTCGACATGATCACTATTTGCGTGAGGAACACGAAACGCGTACGGTTTATAGTTGGCTTTTTTAGCAATTTTCTCTTTGAGTTTTTGGCTTATATGTATCACACAGATATTTTTTACTTAGTTTGAAATGAAAATAAAAGATATATATATATTCAAAATACAAAACATTGAGAACACAATAACGCACTGACTTAATCCAACGTTTCTTAAATTTAGTTTTGTTGTGAAAATCGGTGTGAAAACTTTTCAAAACATTCAAGTAGAGTTTGACTTTTCGTATAAAACAACTTGTAACTGTCTGCATTGTAGTTTTATTGGATTCAGCAGATAAAAAAACTACATGTGAACTGAGTTGAATGACAGGATTTACGTAAGTTTCATTGATAGTTCAGGAGTGCCTTGAAGACAGTATAAAATATAATAATTTTCAGTCCGTGACACTGTTGTTGAACATAGTGAGCATTATTATGAAATACAGTACTGAAACGTATTAAATATATAAAAAAAAACACACAGAAGGTAGGTAAAAAACTAGCTAACAACATACGTACTGTTCGAATGTTGAAAAGTTTAGGATTATAATAAAAAACTGGCGTTTTCTTTGTAGATAAAAATACAAAAACAACTTCCCGCGGCTTGTTTCAAGATTTTTACCGGACCACGAAGATTCCACGCGCGAGTCGCGAGGATTACGTCTGAGCTATATAAATGTTTTAAACTGGACTATAACTGTAGGGAGCCACCTTAAGTGCTGTCTGTTGTTTTGGCAGCGATATACTTGTTTACTTGGCTATGCTTTAATGTAATTAAAATCAATAAAGTTTATCTTTTATTGTTTTTAAAAGGCTATTTAATAAAGGAAATATAAAACATTTTTTCCGTGTTCCTATAGAGTTTATAGAAACACTTGTGGAAGTTTGGCCGTTTGGGAGAAACTCGAAATTGCGTGGAAACACTCGCACTTCGTGCTCGTGCTCCCACGCAATTTCTCGTTTTTCCCAAACTTCCACGCGCGTTTCTATAACTCCATAGAAACACGGAAAATGTTTTCTAGTTCTTAAATAATGATGAGGACTACATACAGCATATGCTAATGCATGCTCGTAAAAAAAATTTGAAATGCCAACAATTTGAAAGACTGTATGGTCAGTAAGTACTGGTTTTTATGTCACAGGTGGCCACTGGAATCTAGTGCAACCATCCATTCTTCCACTTGGTCGATTTCCTGTGGCAGTGATCGCTGACGTGAAAGACAAGTTATGGTGCAGCAGTGGAAGTCAAATATATGTTGTGAGCAAGAAAGGTGACAGAATTCAGGTATGTATAGACACAGTTTTTTAAACAGAAATAAAATGGAACAAATAATCCGACTATAAACAAATATACTGAAAGGAAACGGAATAAAATGACCTGCATGAACAAGACAAAACAAGGAAGTATAAAGAACGAAAAACAATACATAGCAAATAAAAGGAATTGTAGAAAAGCGAATTAAAGTAAGAGGAACGTTGGCAAGCAGAACAATGTAAAATTAAAAAAAACCCAAAAACAACACAGCACAGGACAGGACAAGACAACATGACATAGCTGTTGAAAAAAGCAGGGCGAAGCAAAGCAAAAGCAATTTTAAATTAAACCAAAAACTGAACAGAACAAGGCAATGCAATGCAAAGCAAATGCCATGCCAAAAGCAAAGTAAAAACAATGGAAAACCTAGCAAAGCATAGTAAACCGAAGCAGAACAAGACAACGCGATGGAACTGAAATTAAAAAAAAAACGTAAAGGAAACAGCAGAACTGATTAAAACAGAGCAAAGTAATGCACAGCAAAAATAAAAAGAAGTAGAAACGAAGTGTACGTAAAATAACCAAAGCGAAACAAAGTAATTTGCAAACGTTTTGGTATATAGGCTAATTAATGGATAACAATAAGTTAGGAAAAAAAACATTTGCTATATATTTAATCAATGTCTAGCGTATCATTGCCGTGGATTCCAACATGAAGAACTTGGTAAAACATGTCGTGAGTTGTGGTGTTGGTGTATGGGTGAGTGTTTGGAAGAAAGCGACAATTAAACTATACCATGCAGAAACATGTGGAATGATACAGGAAGTTAATGTCGTCTCTCCTGTCGTGAAGATGAAAAATGGTGAGTTTTTTATTCTTCCAGTTACCTATAAAAAAATATAATATCTTTAGCATTCACTTTCGATTACCGTCTACAGTGACATTCAACTGAAGCAAACTAACACCGTTTATACCGGATATAATAGTAGAGATGAGGCGATCATCGGCAAAACCTCGGCAGAGCTCATTAGGGACTATTTTTTATCACAATCTAGAATCGGCTGATTGTTTTTCACGATCTGATTGGTCCGCGGTGTCTGTCTTGTCCTCGTTTATCGTGCATGGCTTCTCATTGTATTTGAATTTTGTTCACTGCTTATTCTTCCAAAGAAAAATAAATTTTCTTTAAAGAACAAAAGTTTCAGTCAGTGGTCACTACTTGCCTATTTTCTGTTTGTGTTGCTCAAAATAGAGAATTGGCTATGTGGCATTCTCTCATTACGAAAATTAGGAGTTGAGTTGAGTAAATGACGCTAAATCCAATCTCGTCCCCGAGCCTGCGATCCTCGGGAAGGAACGTGAGGCTCTGAGATAACCCGTCTCAGGGAGGAATCTGATTATTGGCCGTTGATATGGAATCCGCAGTTCAACCTTAGCCAGGATTCCTGGCTTCCGGCAACGGATTACCCCAGAGCCTCTCATTCCTTCCCGAGGATCGCAGGAACGAGATTGCGCTAAATCGACAATTCGTCAAAAGGTGATCGCGTAAGCCAATCATCGGTTTTGTCGATTAATCGGCCGATGGTGGGTTTGTATCGGATCTTGAACAATCGGTATAAAAAGTATGAAAATGTCTTCCTTAAAATCTAGTAGGGGCCACCTCTTACTGGTACTGTTCTTGAAGTATTTGAAGTAGTATTTGAAGGTTATATGAAACGTCGAATAATGAAGCAATCCTTTATTCTGGTGTTATCACTCACACCAACTTTATTTGTGCTGGATGGCTTGAGTTCTTCCTATAGGGGTCGAGTAAGAACCGTATTTGTCCAGTGTTACTGCAGAAAGAAGCTAAGCAATTTTATGAGACTGGCAATGGATTGCTCTTCAGTTCCACGTTATCCTCCCGGAGAAGCAGTAAGGATTGTCCTTTTTAGACCCGGAAAACCCTGCAGTGTTTGGTGGAGTCGAAAAATAAGAAAGCTTTTTCGCAGTTTTCGGACCTCGGATACAAAAGTAATGGGCGGAAGATTTTCCCCGTTCATTTCTGTAAGAAGCCAAAATTTGGTGTTCTTATAATAATTGCATTTTTTAGACGTGGACAGTCAAGTTCAATATCTCTCTGTGGACAAGATAAGCGTGACAGCCTTACTTTTTATCCCTGGCTTTTTGTGGGTAGGAACAAGCGTTGGTCTTATCTTGCTCTACCCTCTTCCCAAAATGCAAGGAGTCCCGCGTGTGGTTGGTCGCGCGTGTGTCGCGTTTCACGCCCACTGTGGCCCAGTCCGCAGTCTGCTTGCTATTCCACAAGGCGTAGTTGGCGAGGAAACCACCAGTGATGACGTGAGCACTGGAGGTGAGTAAACACTTAGAGGGAAATACGTTGTGTGCAAATTTCTAAGTGAGCAATAATTTCTAATTTTAGCTAATTTTCCCAAATATACTACAAATAACAGTAACAATAGAAAATGCTGCGAGCTTGGTAGACCACCTGCATTTTTAATGTGTCTAGCTAAGGTTAAAATTTAAGGTAGAATATTTTTTTAATTAATATTTATTTTCAGGAAGCTTTCTCACGAAGTGATTTTCAGAAAGGTCCTGTATATAATGATATAATATTCCTATTTGTAGGTGAAGATCCCAAAGAAATCAACAGGTTAGTTCAAACTGCAAGCAAAAATAACAATTTAAATTTGCCATCCTGGTTTTGCAAAAGCAGCGCAATTTGTATAGGTGATCGTATGGTTGTAATTGCACGAGTGCATGTATGTTTCCAAATTGCACGGAGAAACCATACTATTACGTACCAATAATATACATGAAAATATTATGGAGAAACATTCATAGTCACTTTACCACAGGCGAAATAAATAAATTACCCACTCATTTGAATGACACAACAACTTAATACAATTTTACCAGGCCCAGAAGTCAAAACTTAAATCAGCATGTCTTTTGTTTGAACCGGTTCACCAAAATATTAGCCTTCGATCAGAATTGAGTAATTTTTCATGTATATTATCAGTGTTGAAATACAGTACCACTGTACCATACTTAACAGAAAAGAACATCCGGGAATGAAAACTACACCAGACCAACTGCAACAAACACGTGACGTTGTGACGACATTTCACACGAAACATATTCCACCTTATTAGATCGTCAACATCAAAGACTGACCTACAATCGTGGACACAATTGTTAATAAAATAGATCGAAATTTCAGGAAACTGCATCCAACTAACTTAATTAATAATTCATGATAAATTAGCTAATCACGTACATTACTTGATCTTGCTCACACGATCATACTGGATACCTGATGAAGTGTGTTGATGCAGTCCAACGACCGAATTAATTTTGATCCAGTCGTAGGACTGGATCAACACACTTCATCAGGTATCCAGTATGATCGTGTGAGCAAGATCAAGTAATGTACGTGATTGGCTAATTTATCATGAATTATTAATTAAGTTAGTTGGATGTAGTTTCCTGAAATTTCCTGAAATTCCTCGCTTTAATTAATGAGTTTATTCGTATGAATGTAATTTTCGCCATACAGTCGGATTTGATACGTTACATCCGATGTTGCTACAATTCTTCTCGTACATTTACATTCCATACTTGTTTCATATGTTTTTTATTTGTTGTAGTTTCTGTATATTTTTAGGCTATTGACATATGTTGTGTGATTTACATTTTTTGTTTGATTTTAATTTTTTCACGTGATCGCTTTTATATTCACTAGTATAAAGGCTTATGTAAGGCTGCCTCGTTATTGTCGCTATGAACATACGTACTACAATTTAATTAAAATCTCATAGAGACAACATAGGTTTTGTCCATCCACGATGGTAGCCTAATTTGTTGAAATAGTATTTTCATTTACATACGACGAAGACGACACACATAAATCACTGAAATTATGTTGTATATTTTTTGTAGAAAATTCACTATGCTGGCTGACAGTGAAGAATCTGTTGAGAGTGATGAAGAATTTTATTTTGTTGATGATAATAAAACTACATCGCCAAAGAAAAAGAAATTACCAAATTCTAGCGCTAAACCTGGCTCTCAACGACTCAAGGTGACAGTGAAAGGTCCGGAACAAGTCAGTCTTAACTCGGAAATTTCAGAATTACCATCAAATGGTAATTCAGAGGACTTCAGCATCACTAAACACGACGATTTTGCCAGAATGATGACTACATTTGATGGATTTAATCAAGATAACTCGCAGAAAAATAAAGGGAATGATAGGAAAAGTGTACGTTCCTATAAAAATAAGCTTTTTGCAGCTACTCATGCGGAGGACAGCGAGAAGGAAGAAAGAAGTTCGGATATTGTAGAGGTGCCGAAGTCGGATGGCAACAAAACTCCCGGAACAAATGCCCTGTCGGGTATCGGGGACAGTGGGGCAAAATCAGATGTACCTACTAAAGAGTATAAGCGAACTGATGATAGTAAAGATAATGGCACTGCCTCATCGTCGTCGATAGATTCTTCAAGCGATTCAAAGTCTAGGACAAATCAAAATTCTGATGCAGGAAGGTCGGTTATGTCTGAAGAGAATACTAGTACCATAGAAAATAAAGTGACTGGCAATATATCAACTGTGACTTCTAATGAAAGGACAAATAACGGTGATGTAGCAAAGAACATCAAAGCTACAGACGAACAAAATATTTATGAAAATATACCTGTAGAGGAAAAGAAAGATGTTGATTCAAGCCGAACTTCTGAAGACGTCAGCCAGAAAAATCCAAGTAGCCTCACACAAACAGAACTAAATCCTAGTTCCCTAAAAATCCCTGAAAACTCGGAAATAACTTCTTCAAGTAGAAATTCTTCTCAAGTCAATACACGTTCTGAAGCTAACCAACAACGGAAAAAGGACAATGATCTAACTTCCAGTCAACATTCCCAAAATAGTTCAACGTCTTCAAAACCGCTGGAAAAGCCACAGGAGACTTACGTAACCGTTTTGCCTGGCACTTTGGAACAGTCTGATGGAAGTAATACTAAAAGTAGTAATGACGGCACTGTGGACGGGGAGTTGGGGAGTGAATCCGACAGTCGTTTCAACAAAACAGGAAAATCGCGTGGTAGGTGTCTGTCATACTTGGTGGTCAGCGGGGGCGAAGGTCACGTGGATTTGAGGTTGAAGGTGAAGTCCAAACAAGATTTGAAGAAAGATGCCCAGAGTATGTTCCTAATATGGCGAGTAAATAGCAAGATATAAACACACACTAGTTATAGTTTTAGAATTAATAATACGAAATTTTTGCGAAGTGTATATAGGCCATGCCAATTCATTCCTGCGTTAAATACGGAGCTTTAACAACACGATCGCGACGATGTCCGCTAAAACGAATTCCTTCAAATAAACTGGGTAAACATGTATAAACAGGGTTCGTACTAAACTTGAAAGTCCTTGAAAGATCTTGAATTTGAAAACAAAACTTCATGGTCGACTGAAAGTCCTTGAATTTATAAAGAAGTGCTTTGAATGAAAGTCCTTAAATTCTTTACGACGGCTGTTTGAAATTGATTAACGTTGCCATTTTAAAAACAGTTTAACGTCACTTTTTAAGATTTCTAACGCCTTCTTTTCAGCCCTTCAGTCCTTGAATTTCCTAATACATGGCCTTGTCCGAACCCTACATATAGCATATAATTATGAGCACTGTAAATAGTTGAAACCTTTCTTGTACATATTTTAATTGTCCCAGCCTCAGCTATGAATGTTATAAGGTGATGTTGTACGCAACGACGATTCGCAATGCAAATGAAGTTGCACGAAATTTGATTGATTCGGCAGCCCATTGCGTATTGCGTCGCGAATCGTCGTTGAAAATCGTTCTGTGTTTCATTGCTTTTATAATCCTACAATTTTATCCCGACGCAAAACGCGACACTGTGAAATGTTTTATTGGTTGGGTTTTTTCAAGTTTAGACGGACGCGCATGCGTTTTCCTTATCAGTACAAATTTTATAGTCTTTTTTAACATTGAATTCAACTACTTTTGTCCTAATTATCCGAATGTGGTTAAACTTGTTGTATACATGGAGCTGGTTGTATAAAACGATTAACCCAGTTTTAACCACTATTTTGTATTAAAATACGCGATTTTGATTGGTTAACATTCGCACTAATAATTGTAGTTAACCTTTTTATACAACCCGGCCCAGAATACTAACTTTTCAAGTGCTCTTTAATTTCTAAATAACAGTGCTGCTCATTTTCAGTGCATATAAATATTTAACGTATATATAGTAGTTAGCCTGAGCGGAAGAACGCTTAACATTATTTATACTATTTTTCGTATTAGATTCAATTTTTAGCTTTTCCATTATTCCTTCGTATGTCTGGGCGCAGAATTATACTGGTACGTTAGAATGGCTCAAGTACATTAGTAGGTATTGAGTATTGATAATATTGATTAAACCATGCCTCCATGTGCAGCGCCCCTCTACGCCATACCTGACATGCGTATTCAGGAACGGGTCTTATGATGATAACGTTTCTAATTCACAACCCATACACAAACATAAATACTAATAGTAATAAGAGTAATACTGACCAGAGCCGCCGAGAGGTTGCGCGGGGCCAAAAAACCATCCTAACGCAAAACTAACCCTAACCCTAACCACAACCCTAACCTAACTCTAACTTATTTAAACAAGTACGATCGTACTATAGTGGACCAGGAACTGCGTGACCCAGTTTCGATCTTGTGCAAATCGTTAAACGTTCAAAACCTTCGAGATTTTGACTTGATAAACAAATAACTAGACACTTGTGAAACTAATGTTCTCGAAGTTTGCAACGTAGACTGAGTTCGCTAAATGTTTTGCTTTAATTTGGTCATGCAAGATATACTTTATCCGGGAAAAATGCGTCTAGTGCCGTGTGTATATAGCCTAAATGAGGTGTAAATCTGGACAAAGCATAGATAACTAAATGCGCAGTTTTCAAAAGTATTTCCTCGCATTTGAATTCGATAGACAAGTTAAATGTCCCACAATATTTAGAATAAACATGCCGTGCCTAAGTCAGCTAACTTTTGCCGTACATCAAATTTTGCCTTGCCGTGCCTGCCATTTATAATTACAAAATAAGTTAAGGTAACAAATTATCTGTATTGTTGCCAGGTTATTGCAATTTCATCTCGCTTAGTCATGGCTTCATAACTGCATTCTTGTGAAGCTTTAGACTATTGTGATTGTGTTCACAACAATAGACAAGACAATGTTTTTCTTATCGTTTGCGTTTGCTGATATATTTTCTGAATATTAATGATATGTATATATTATTTGCTACGAATACAGTCAAAAATTGCTTGTATTTTGCTTCTAAAGTCAAAAATGAAAAATCGAACACCGTCAATCGATGCGGAATATTGCTTAGAATAATTGTGTCAAATTTCATTCCGATCAGACAAGTAATGACGGAGCCTTAGGGTTTTTTCAAAGAGCGTCGCCCCCTAACAACAACAACAACAACAACAACAAGATTAGCAGCGATTGGGGACCAGTTCCTGGTCCAAAAATTGATATAAAAACGGAAACCTTATTTTGAAGTATACTATCTAGCAATTGCCGTTGGCGATGTGGGGGAGGAGGTTTCGAACCTTCACATATTTCTTTTTGAAGTACAGTTGTACTTAATTTATTGCATAACAGACACTAAGGTTGCTTGGACTAATTTTTCACAAAATGTTTATTTTTTAATTTGTTTTGCTTTGGAGGCCGGGGCAAAATGTCCCCCTCCCTGGTACTGACTATTCCCCCATTCGTTTTCTGACGCAATTGACAATTCCTATCCTATGACGAAAATATAAAATAGAGTTCGAATTTCAATTTTTGATTTCGACACATACTAGAAATTATGCAAGCTACTGTTGAACTGAATTTTAAATTTTTATTAGAATCAAAGTTATTGTAAAAGTTATTATTGTACCGAAATAGCACCATGTGCATATATTTATGCTGACATTGGTGCTTACCCCCCCACCCCTTTTGTTTTCCTAAAATAAACTAAATAAATAAACTACTTGATAAATATATGTCATTGACTGAACGAGCCGAATGGGACTAGTTGGAGTTCACTAAAAACAAGAGCATGCATTCTTCGGAAAACAATGTCAGTGTTTAATTAAATTGTTTACAACATTATTTGAACATATCGAAACGCAAAATTTTACATTTTTAAGCTAAAACGATAACAACAGATTTTTGGATTTTAATATAACAGAAATCGAAAAAGAGCACTTCTAAATGCCGTTTATGTATGCACCACAACTCGGCCACTAGCTTGTTTAGCCGAGCCTTCCAAGCACTCCTTCAGTGACGTCATGCCTACATTATCACGTCGTGCGCGCGCATCATTCCTCAGTTCTCCGCCCTCCCTCCGCCACAAGCCATCTCCCTCCGCAGCCCTCTGCCTCCCTCCGCCACAAAATTCCGGGTCGAACAGCCCCCATATTATACCCTTCAACTATTATTCAATCGAGTGAGATGCCAGCAAAATCCGATATTTACCCATAACCTAACATAGCAGTATACCCTATATATATATATTGATGAACTTGTGTGGTTAACGTTAGAACTTGAAAAAAGATTGGCCTCTGTAGCTGCGTTGGTTAGAGCGCTCCACCAGAATCGCAGTGCCGCAGGTTCAAGAATATATTCGTGTTGACGGATTGTCCGCACTCTTTGCATGCGTGAAAAGACTGGGACTAGCCTTCAAGTTTGGAGAGGTTAAAATACTTCGGTGTACGGGTACGAGTAGTGTCATCTTGTTTTACTGATGTCTGTAATTCGATCATACTTTTTCTGTTTTCTTGCAATGGACAATGATATAACGCGAAAAATGTGCACCTTAATTACGAGTAAAGGTAAAGACATCGACCAAAATATTGCTAACCAAAATCATGCTACTCGTGCACCGAAACCGGGGTATCTTAACCTCTCTATACTAATATTACTACTTGTGTTAGCAACACTTTTGGTAAACTAAGGCCTGTTTTAGACGTCGAATTTAGTTAGTTCAGCTTAATGCTTCCGAATTTTACTGACTCCATTTCGAAGTCAATTTCTGTCAATTGTGTAGCCTGCATAACATCGTCAAACATTACGCGATGAAACCCGTCGAACGGTCGGCGGAGTCGTACTTTATGTGCTGCATCTAATAAAATGCAAATTTCTGTCGAATAGAAAGTTCAGCAGCATTAAATTCAACAAATTAAATTCGACGGAACTTCGACGTCTTACTAAGGGCCTGTTTATATGATCCCGCCTAGGCGGGAAACTCGCCTAGTGTTTATATCGACAAAATACATTGCCGGGATGTAGCCATTTCCATTTAAGTGCTTGACGT